CTGGCAGCAGCCCCGTGTCCGTATCCAGGGTACTAGCGTGCCCACGGGACTGCATTTGTTATAAAGCTTGGAACTTGGGGGGCGGGCGGGAGTGGGGTGTCAGGACTGGAGGAAGAGGCCTGGTGGCACTGTGTATTGGCACTGGGCTGCTAAGACCACCAGGGACTTCACAGGATGGCACAGCGGTCGGCCTGCTCCGTGAAGAGCAGAGACTCGGCCCCACAGGGTGCCTGTGTGCTGGCATCCTGTGGGCAGCAGGTGGTCTGGGGATGCTTAGGGAGCCCTGGTAGTCCAACAGGAAGTGCCGGCTGCTGACAGAGAGCTGGCACTCAGACTGCTCGGCAGGAAGGCCTGGGCATCAGTTCCCAGAGGAGATGCGGATGGAACCCAAAGTAAACCAACCTTAAGACCAAACTCATTGCCAGCAAGTCAGTGGATGCCAACCCACAGTGGCCCGACAGGGCAGGGCAGAACTGCCCCTGTGAATTTTCAAGACTCGAACTCTTCATGGAGCTGAATTCAACATTTCAACAGGCAGCTTGAGAAGCCACACCCAAGTGTTAGCACTATGCGTGTGAGGGAGGGCCTAGAATCAGAAAACCAAACGGCTACGTAGGCCACACTCAGCATATCCGAGAAAAAAAAATCAAGTTTTCAACTGCAATTTTGAAAGATTCTATAGGCCAAAAACCTGCACGATGCAAGAAGCATCTAGAGAAGATGGAAGAATACACAGAGTCGCTGGACCTACAAGAAGTAGGTGACATCCCACCACTTCAGGAGGTAGCCTATGAGCAAGGGCCACGGGGCTGAGAGGAACGCACTGAATGCATTCGTCAAAAACACGGCTCCAGGCACTGACCTGTTTCAGAGACGCGGAAGCAGCACTGGGAGCATCTGCTCACCTGTGCTAGGAAACGGGGTAGACAGCTGGCTACCTGGCCCACTGACAGGAAGAGAGCTATTATTTGTACCCATTCCAGAGAACGGAGACCCATCAGAATGCTCAAACTATAGAACAAAACCCATCGATATCACACACAAGTAGAATTTTGCTGAAGATCATCCAACAACGGTCGCAGCAGTACATTGACGGGGGCTGCCCAAAGTTCAGGCTGGATTCAGAAGGGGACGCGGAACGAGGGGTATCATTGCTGGTGCCAGATGGACCGTGGCTCAGCGCAGAGACCACCAGAAAGATGTTGACTTGTGTTTCATTGTCTATGCAAAGGGGTTTGACTGTGTGGACCACCTGTGGATGACCTTGAGGAGAACGGAATTCCAGAACACTTCATTGTGGACCAAAACAAGGGGTCCGGCGTGACTGGGAATCAAGGAGGGTGTGCATTCGGGTCGTGACCTCGCACCGTCCTCGTTGCAGCTGCACGCTGAGAAAATCAGCACATGGGCTGGATGCTATGGAGAGAGTGGCAGCAGGGCTGGAGGAAGGTTTATTGACAACCCGTGATTTGCAGAAGATACAATCCTTGCTTGCTGAAAGCAAGGAGGACTCGAAGCACTTGTAGATGAAGGTCAACTTTCAGCTTGCAGGGTGGGCTACAACTCAGCGTTAAGAAGACGGAAATCCTCACAACTGGACCAACAGATCACATCATGATAAATGGAGGAAAGGTTGGCGTTGTCAAGGACTTCCTTATTGGGATCCACAATCAGTGCTCATGGAAGCAGCAGTCAAGAGATCCAAAGAGGCATTGCACTTGGTCCGTGTGCTGCACAAGAGCTCTTCAGAGTGTTGAAGAGCAAGGGTGTTACTTTGAGGACTGCGGTGCGCCTGACCCCAGCCATGGCGTTCTCCATGGCCTCCTACGCACGGGACAGTTGGACACTGCGTAAGGAAGACCACGGAAGAAGGGATGCATTTGAGCTGTGGGGCTGGAGAAGATGGAAAGGCCCACAGGACAAATGGATCTGTCTTGAAGACGTCCGGGCAGAGTGCTCCTTGGAGGCAGGGACGGCAAGAGTTCACCTTACACACTTCGGACATGCTGTCAGGAGAGACCAGACCCTGGAGAAGGTCATCCTGTCCGATAAGCTGCAAGGGCGGTGGGAAAGAGGAAGGCCCTTGACGAGATGGGTGGACATGGTGGCTGCACCAACGGCTCGGGCACAGGCACCAGTGTGAGGATGGTGCGGGACCAGGCAGTGTTGTGTGCGGTCGCCCTGGGCTGGAGGCAGCTCGATGGCACCTCGCAACAACGCTTTCTGGAGAAGGCCCAGTCGTTTCCCCCGCAGAGCAACTGGGTTTGGAACCAACGACCCTGCTAACTGCAGCCGATGCATGTCCAGAAGGCCACCAGGACTCCACGAACACGGACTGCAGACCAGTAAGAGGAGAAAGAGCTCCACAGTCCACTTCACCTCACACCATCAGGCGGGCAGCCAGAGAGGCTGCACACGTAGAACACTGCTCCTGGGTGGCCCGACAGCACAACCACTCTACGTAACAACGGCGTATTATCCCGGGAGGCAGAAAGGGCCGCCCCCAGTCCAACCACCTTAAATGCTCTGGTGGCGTGGGACAAGTGGACCAGTTGAAACCCACCAGCCTGTCCTCAGGAGAAAGTTAAGATGGAACTGTCTGTATCCCAAGCGAGTCAAAGCCTTACAGAGAGTCACTATGGGCTGGAAGCGAGTGGAGGGCAGTGGGCTGGAGTTTTGACTTTGGTGACGTCACTCAGTCGGTGAAAAGACTGACTGGCCTATTTGTCACCGAGGGCTCCGCATGACAACGGTGAAGCGGCACAAGCAGGTGCGTCCACACGGGAAGACCCAACTTTGGCCACCAGCGGTCTCAGGTGGCACGAAGGCAGCAGGAAGCCAGCTCCCCACACCCCCACCATTGGCTCCAAGGTCTGAACGCCCGCGGTGGCTCTGAGGGAGAGAGACCGTGCAACCTGCCACTATGGCACATGGGATAGCCACGCATGGCACTGGGTGACCGGCGGGCGACCCAGTACGCTGAGGGAAGGGCAGGGGCGAGAGGCTCTCTCTGGCCTGAGCCGTGTGACTGGCTGCTGTCCTGGTGCTGCTGATATGTGCTGGCCTCGGAGAGAACCCACAAGAACTACAGGGCAGGGGGCGACTGGGGGTAGTGGTGTGTGTGTGTCACAGGAGCCCCGCAGCGGTATGTGGGCACTCGCAGGCAGACCTGCACCGTGGGGTGGTGCTCAGGCCTCAGGCACGGCACCTGGTTACTCCACATGTGATGAAGGGCTCTTCAGAGCAATGGGCGCCGACCGTGGGGCAGGTGGAGCAGGGGGCCCAGGAGCTAACCCCTAACCCCCATCCATCACCGATCCTAATGTCTCCCCTAACCCTCACCTAAACTTCACCCAGTCCTCACCCTAATGTCACCCCTAACCCTCACCCAGACCCAACCCTAATGTCTCCCCTAACCCTCACCCAGCCCTGACCCTAATGTCACCCCTAACCCTCACCCAGACTAGACCCAGCCCTGCCCCTGACCTCTCACCCAACATGTCACCACTCCTTCTTTTAGGGACCCTCTAGCCGAGTTCCCTTCTGGCTCCTCCTCTGGACAGCAAACCCCATGCACCTGGTGATGCCCACTGAGCCCGCCCCCACAGCCCCGAGAACCCCCCGCGGCGCAAGCACTTACCGCTATAGGAGTCGGGCGGCCGAGAGAGGTCCGGGAGAGCTCCAGGCTGGCTGGGGAGGCCCACGTGGTTGTGCAGCAGCCCAGCGCTGCCCGCGAGGCCGTCCTCAGAGTGGCTGCCTCCAACCTGGGGGGGCGCACGCGTCAGCACTGGGGGGCTTCCTGAGTCTGCCCCATGCCCGACCCCACGACCCCACCCCACCCCGCCATCCGGTGCTCACCA